CTCTGCTCTCTTCCTGCACTCAGGCCTGCTGGCAGATCCAGGGCAGGGGCCACCCTTCCTGTGCTCTTCTAGGGCCAAAGGGCAGGCCCGAGGCTCCTCTGCCCCCTCCTCCCTCCTCCCCAGGACTGCCTGGTGCCAGTGCTGGTTACATTTCCTGCTTTGAAAAACCAACCTCAGCCTATCTATCTGGCCCAGCTCGTCCTTCTAGAACCATCCCACTCAAGCCTGACTGGCAAAAGCAGGCTAAGATCCTGGGGTCCCAACTACCGAGGAACCCAGAAGCCACCAGGACTTGGCAGTGAGAGACACTTGGTCCATCCCCCACGTAGATAATGCCTGGATGCCCAGAGCCCATCCCAGATGCACAATGATGGCACTTGGCGCCAAGACATCAAGCTTCTTGCAAGAAACCTCAGTGGCTGCCCTCCACTCCCCACTCCCAGGGCACAGGTTCCAGTGCTCAGAGTGGGAACCCGCGCTCCAGGGCTCTGGGTGGAGCATGAAGAGGCAGCTGGGGAAGCAAGGGAGACAGGAGGGCGGCTCCCACACATGGGGCTCCCTCCTCCACCATGAGGTGAGCAAGTGAGTATATGTAAGAGGTAATAACAAAAGCCCATTAGGAGGGGGAGACGAAAGCATTCTTGGTACATTCTTCCTAAAAAACAAAGCACAAAAGTAAAATAAAGACTACGCAGAGCAAAAAGAAAATGTTCCTGGGTCGCAGAAGGGTTTCCCTTGAGCAAATCACCCCCTTGTGGCAATGAATGTGACTTGCAGGAGGAAGAAAAAGGTTTTGTTTTTCCATCTTTTAGAATCTGAAACGCTGTAGTAACCCTTAACGTTAGAACTTTTTGCATTAAACAAAGCAAAATTAACAAAAAAAGGACTTCCCTTAGGGTAGGTCTAATTAAAGCAGATGTCTTTGTTTTTTGTTGTTGTTTTTTTTGAAAAATATTTTTTTTTTTTATTGATTTCAGAGAGGAAGAGAGGGAGAGAGAGAGAGAGAGAAATATCAACGTAGATCGGCTGCCTCCTGCACACTCCACACTGGGGATTGAGCCTGCAACCGGGCATGTGCACTTGACTGGAATCAAAGCCAGGACCTTTCAGTCCGCAGGCCTATGCTCTATCCACTGAGCCAAACCGGCTAGGGCAAAGCTGTCCAATCACTGACCCATATCATAAAATATGTAAAAGATGGAAATTTCATTAAATCAAGGTATAAAAAGCTGGGGTGACCTAAGGTGATCCATTTGGGGAAAGTTGAAGAGGTTCTGTATTGTCTAAACTGTACACTTTTGAAAGTAAAAAGAATTACTATTAATAATTACACCGGACAAAAGGTGTGAAATTGGGGACATGTGGCTCCCCTAAATTTGTTTCTGTGGTTTAGTCCGGCAAAGATGTGGCTACATTTTATAGTAGAGATCATGTGGCAAGAAATCTAACCCTTTCAAAAAGAATAAAAAGTTTCCAACCTTCAGTGTGCTGGCAGGAATTTAGTTTCTGGTTTGAATTTTATAAACCATTCAGAGCTCGAGTAACCACCACCTTGTGGCAACAAACACCACTTGCAGCGAGCAGACCCATTTTGCAATGCTGAGTCCCAGAGATCTTTGTATGGATGTGCCACCGTTGGATTACTCATTGAAGGACACCTTGATTACTTCCAATTTTCGGCGATTACGAATAGGGCTTCTCTAAACATTTACACGGAGATTCTTGTGTGCCCATAAGTTTTCAGATCAACTGGGTTAAGATGTAGGACCATGACTGCGGGATCATATGGTAAGACTATGTTTTGCTTTGTAAGAAATTGCCAAACTGTCTTCCAAAGTGGCTGTATTGTTTCACATTCCCACCAGCAATATATAATGCCTGCTGCTCTGTATCTTTTTAAAAATTTTTATTTATTGACTTGAGTGAGAGAGAGAGACTTTGATTTGTTGCTCCACCCATTGATACACTTATTGGTTGACTCTTGTATGTGCCATGACCGGGGATGGAAGCCACAACCTTGGCATGTCAGGACAATGCTCTAACCAACTGAGCTACCTGGCCAGGGTTGCTCTGTGCCTCTACCGGCATTTAACATTGTCAGTTTGAGATAGCAGACATTCTAATAGGTGTGTAGCAGTATCTCATTATGTAATTCCCTAATGACAAATGAGGCTGAGTATCTTTTTCATTTGTTTGCTTTATATCTGTATATCTTCTTTGGTGAAGTATGTGTTCAGATCTTTTGACCATTTTTAAATTGGGTTGTTTGTTTTCTTACCTTTGAGTTTTGTATACTTTGGATAGAAGTCCTTTGTCAGATATGTGCTTTACAAATATTTGCTCCCAGGCTGTGGCTTGTCTTTTCATTCTCTTAAGTCTTTTGCAGATCATGAGTTTTTTATTTTAATAAAGTCCAACTTACAGTTTTTTTTTCTTTCATGGATCATGCTTTTGGTGTTGTCTCTAAAAAGGCATTGCCAAATCCAAGGACCACCTAGATTTTCTCCTATGTTTTTTCCTAGAACTTTTGTACTTTGGCATTTTACACTTATGTCTATGATCCATTTTTAGTTAATTTTTGTGAAAAGATTGGATAGCTTTGCCCAAAAGATCCAGATTCATTTTTCTTTTGCAAATGGATGTCTAATTATTCCAGCACCATTTAAAAATATGTTTTGTATTTTTTAAAATATATTTTATTGATTTCTACAGAGAGGAAGGGAGAGAGATAGAGAGTTAGAAACATCGATGAGAGAGAAACATTGATCAGCCGCCTCCTGCACACCCCCCACTGGGGATGTGCCCGCAACCAAGGTACATGCCCTTGACCAGAATCGAACCCGGGACCCTTCAGTCCGCAGTCTGACGCTCTATCCACTGAGCCAAACCGGTTTTGGCAAAAAATATGTTTTGTATTGATTTCAGATATAGGAAGGGAGAAGAGAAGGAGAGATAGAAACATCAATGATGAGAATCATAGATCGGCTGCCTCCTGCATGCCCCCTACTGGGGGTTGAGCTCACAACCTGGGCATGTGCCCTGACCTGGAATCGAACTGTGATCTCTTGGTTCATGGGTTGAAGCCACATGAGCCTCACCAGCCGGGCTCCAGCACCATTTTTAAAAAGACTTTCCTTTCTTGATTGACTTTTTTTCGTCCCTTTGTCAAAGATGAGTTAACTACGTTGGTATAGGCCTGTTTCTGGACTCTCTATTCTGTTCCATTGATCCATGTATTAATTCTTTCACTAACATCCTGCTGTCTTGCTTATTGTAGCTTTATAGCAAGTCTTAGAGTCCAGTAGAGTGAGTTTTCCAGTTTTGTTATCCTTCCTCAGTATCGTGTTGGCTATTCTGCATCTCTTACCTTTTCATATAAACTCTAGAAGCAGTTTGTTGATTTCCACAAAAGAGCTTGCTGAGATTTGGACTGAAATTTTGTTTAATCTATAATCACAATGGGAGGAATTGACATCTTAACAATATTGATTCTTTACATATTTTCAGTTTCTTTCATCAGCTATTGTTGATTTCTAGTTTAATTCTATTGCAGTCTGAGAACACACTCTGTATTTTTTTTATTCTTTTAAATCTGGGAAGGTATGTTTTACGGCCTACATTGTGGTCTGACTTGGTGAATGTTCCATGAGACTTGAGAAGAATCTGTACTCTGCTGTTGTTGGATGAAGTGTCGCTTAAATGTGAATTTGATCAAATGTATTGATGTTGTTATTCAGTTCAACTATATCCTTGCTCATTATCTGCCTGCTGGATCTATTCATTACTAAAATAGTGGTGTGAAGTCTTCAACTATAATAGCGGGTTTATCCATCTTTCCTTGCTGTTCTATCAGGTTTTATTCTATTTATTTTGATGCTCTGTTAAGTATTGTTATGTCTTCTTGGAGAACTGACCCCTTTAATATAATGTAATGCCTTCTCTTTATCCCTGATACATTTTCTGCTTTGCCTGCAGTCATTTAGCTATGCATTCTTTTGATTAGTGCTATCATGGCATAGCTTTCTCCACCTCTTTACTTTCAACCTATCTGCGTCTCTATATTTAAAGTGGATTTCTCACAGCACACAGGAATAGTTTTTATCCACTGACAATCTCTGTCATTTAATTTGTATAGACTATTTGCACCATGTTTGTAACTGCTTTCTATTTGTTTCACTTTACTTTTATACCTAATTTTGAATTTGTAATTTTGTATTCTCTGTCTTAAAGGGAACCCCTTAAAAACTGAAGTCACCCTTAATGTCTGGCATGAATTAAGCAATGGTAAAAGAAAAAGAAAAAAAGGTGCAGACCAGCCCTGGCGGGGCAGGAGAGATACAGGGATTCGGGACACAACTGTGTAATATAATACCGAGGCGCACGGTCTCTGCTGGGTGGGTCCAAATCCCTCAGAAACTGACAAACACCTCAGCCAATGAGAGTGTTTCTTTCGTCCAATTCTGACGGTAGGGGGCCCACCTGCCCGTCTGCTGGGTCCGGAGTGGGCGTGGCTTACATGTCTGCATGTTTATTGCCTGGCTGACTTGGTGTTGGTCTGTGTTGCCATGACGACCGTGGCTGAGTCACGTAAGACTGGCTTGTAAACTCTTGCTGCACGTTGAAGACTGTGTACCTGTTGAAGATCATTCACGGTGGTTCAATTCCCTAGGAATACACTTAACCAGTAGGAATAACGGATTCTGTGGACTTTTTCACCTGAATTCTTTAGCTGCTCGGATGCCATCGCCTGGCGCCCCTTTGTGGGCTCCGCAGTAAATGCCCTCACCCCAGCCCTGCAAGCCATGACCCCCGCGGGCTGCAGGCTCCGCTTCCACTTGTGGGGTGTTCATTTGCATCAGTGCGCTTATTTGCTGCCGTTTATGCTCACCTTAGACGGGTGCGGGGTGGGGGCGGGACGGTCTAAGGTAGGCTCGCGGATCTGCGTGCGCTGCGGGTGTGTCCGGAAGCCAGCATAACAGGGCTTCTGTCTTTGCAGAGCCATGGGCAGCAAGAAGAAGGAAATCGCCCTGCAGGTAAGCCTCAAGAGGCGCTGACTTCCAGCGCTTGATTGGGGTTGGAGGATGAAGAGGGTGCTATGGCCGGGAAGTGCAGTATAGAAGTGATACTCTTTGCCAGCGGTATATGACAGGCAGTTCTCAAACCTGGGTATAGATCTCGGTCTCGCAGTGATGGCAATTTTTTGTGCACTTAAATACAAACAAGTATAACATTGGGTTTAAGCTCTTTATGCTTACAGTGCTATACTGCCTTGAAACTCTATAACACTTTTATAGTTTTTAAAATGGAACTAAACAACCAAGAAATATTGATCAATATAATCTGATGTAACCTATTTATTGTTGAAATAGAATTGCAACTTGCTGCGAGACTATGATATAGATTCTTTTGAGTTTGTAACTGTGTGCTCTCTGGAGACCCAGTTGTCCCACGACTGATCTAATCAATCAGTTGCTTACTCAACAAGTATGTTTTGATATTTTACGTGCTGTGTGCGTGCATTTGTCATAGAAAGTGCTTCACTTCATTTGCGCCTAAGATAAGTGAATCCATAAGCCGAGCCTGCTGTTTCTTCCTGGCCCTGGACAATAAATCGCGGGGGATTCTAGGCTTGTGGTAAACATGCAGGCATGGGCTGTGGAGTCCGGGGGAGTGCTTTGTCATAGGAGACCATCTGGATGATCTGTAATATGGGTACAATTTAAAGCAAACTTTAAAATGTCCGAGTCAGCTCTGCCCATCAGGATAAATGCCCAGGCCACAGGCACCCCCTGGAGAGTAGAAAGGCAGGGTCTTGAGACACAGAACTTCACTTTCATTGTTCTCAGTGGCACCAGCACTTCACATGTGAATTTCAAAAGCCTAGTGATTTTTTTAAAAGGGAGAAAGCATTATCAGTCTAAGGATAGTGCATGGGGGGTGGGGGAGGGAGGAGCTTTAGACTGGAAGCCTGAAAAGGCTTTGTTTTGTTTTGTTAATCCCCAGAGGATATTTTTTCCATTGATTTTTAGAAAAGAGTGGAAGGAAGGGGGAGAGGTAGAAAGAGAGAAACACCAATGTGAGAGGGACACATTGACTGGTGGCCTCCCGCAGGTGCCCCAACCAGGGCTGGGAATCAGGGCTGGGGATTGAGTCTACAACCAAGATATGTACCCTTGACGGGGAATCAAACCCAGGATCCTTCAGTCCTCAGGCCTTCGCTCTATCCATTGAGCCAAACCGAGGAGGGTCAGAAGCCTGAAAGTTGATATAGTTCTTGAGTCTTAGACAACTCTGGGATTTTGGACAAACCACATAACTGCCTATCTGTAGAAGGAGGATATTAGGGGAGTTATCCCTTATGGCCTTCCAGCCTTTATGTTCTAGGAGTCTAGAGTCATGAATCTTGCCAGCTGCGCATGTTCTGTCTGTAAATAAATTCTAAGCCCCTGGCCCTAGCACTTATGCTGCAAAAATGATTTTCTCAGCCTCTCTGTGCCTCTATATCCTTTACGTAAACGGGAGGGAAAATCCATAATCTGAAGAGAGAATGGTTGTGACAAAACTTCTTTACACAGCCCTAGCCAGTTTGGCTCAGTGGATAGAGTGTCGGCCTATGGACTGAAGTGTCCCAGGTTTGATTCTGGTCGAGGGCACATGCCCGGATTGTAGGCTCGATCCTCAGTGTGGGCGTGCAGGAGGCAGCTGATCAATGATTCTCTCTCATCGTTGATGTTTCTCTCTCTCTCTCTCCCTCTCCCTTCTTTTCAGAAATCAATAAAAATATATTTTAAAAAAAACAAAAACCCCAAAAACTTCTTTAGACACTTCCAGGCTAGTCTGAATGCTGTCTGTGGTGGCGCTAAGATTTTTGTCTCTTATGATTATCTTTTTATGTGTCCATACCTTTATGCCCTTTGGGGCTAATAACATTTTTTAGCAATTTTTTTCATGTGTTTCCCCAGAGCTCTTGAGTTGACTGCAGTACTCAAAGCAAGTACTCCCTGTGCTGAGGGAGGAGGGAGAGAAGGTGTGCACTGAGGCTTCTGTGGAAGCGTTGCCTGTCTACCAGGTCAACCCCTTGAAAGCAATGCTCTAGGGCAGGGGTCCTCAAACTTTTTAAACGGGGCCAGTTCACTGTCCCTCAGACCGTTGGAGGGCCAGACTATAGTTTAAAAAAAACTATGAACAAATTCTTATGCACACTACACATACCTTATTTTGAAGTAAAAAAACAAAACGGGAACAAATACAATATTTGTATTTGCATGTGGCCCGCGGGCCATAGTTTGAGGACCCCTGCTCTAGGGTCTGCCAACCCAGGAGCCATGTATGCAATAGCTAAGACTATTTAAGGTTCCTCCTAAAAAGAAATAGAAATAACAGGACATCCAGAGACAGTGCAGCCAAAAGGTGCCACACACTCCCTATCGGTTCCCTACTGGAGTCTGCATGTTCCCCACACTGTTCTGCTCCTGCCCTGCTCCGAGGAGGGAGATCCTTCAGCCATCCAAAGGGCCCTGGCGGCACGGCAGGTGTGGCTCACACCGTCACAGGTGTGCTCCACGGACAGTTGCCACTGACAGCGGAGCCTCTGAAAGCCCCTGTTGTGAGAGAGAGGGTGGGGGTGGGGTGGGGCTCCTCATAACCCTTCTGTCACTTCCCTCAGGACTATGTCTATGGGCCCAGCATGACATCAGTCCAACTTTCTTCTCTCATGTGAGGCATCAAGAAGACTTCTGTTTAAAAAAAAAAATCAAAACAAAAAGTATGAAAACATGATTTTTTCCAGAAAGATGGAGTTTTAATAGAGTACTTGCAGATATTAGGTTTTGAGCCCTTTTAAAGAGACAAAGACCCTAGCATACCTGTATTAAGAATAAGTGGCAATTGTCATGGTCTTTTAACTTATATGGTTTCAAACTAGCTCCCTAGGAAAAAAAAAAAAAGCTTACTAATTACAAAGGGAAAGAGAATAATTTCACAGTGGAGAAGCCTGACAGACATGTGAGCTTTCCCTCTCAACGATCGTGGGGAAATAAACTTTACACAAGCTGCTGTAAAGCAGCCCTCAGAAGCACCTAGGGAAGTTCTCTGTAGAAAGGGCTCACTGAGTTTGCACTGGGTCAAGGACCACACGAGCAGAGGGTGCACGAACAGGCCCCCTGGCAATTCCTCAGTGTCCTCTAGGACAGCCTGGCGACTCAGCACTCCCGCCACGTGCCACCCATGCAGGCTCACAGAGGGCCTTCTCCTACTCCACCTGAATCCATGGGGAAGGTCTCTGCCCTTTTAATCTCCATGTAACCCAAAGCAGGTGCGATCCAAGTGAACATCAGCAGTAATGAGGGAGATGGAAATTATATGTCACCTGATAGGATGCCATGAGAGGAACATTCTTCTACTTCTCTGACACTCCAACCAATCCAACCATCTCCAACCAGTTCCAATCAGTTCTAACAAATTCCAACCAATCCAACTAATTCCAACCAATCCATCTAATTCCAGCCAATCCAACAAATTCCAACCAATCCAACAATTTCAACCAATCCAACTAATTCCAAACAATCCAACAATTTCAACCAATCCAACTAATTCAACAATCCAATCATCTCCAACCAATTCCAACCAATCCAACCAGCTCCAACTAATTCTAACCAATTCCAACCAGCTCCACCAATCCAACCAATTCCAACCAGCTCCACCAATCCAAAGATGCACAGCCTGACTAATCAGGAGGAAACACCAGACACACTCAAACTGAGGAACATTCTACAAAATAACCAGTATGCAGAATTTAAAAGTGTCAAGGTCATGAAAATCAGAGACTAAAGAACTATTCCAGACTGAAGGAGACTAAAGAGACCTGACAAACCTGGCACATGATTCTGACGATAGCTTTTGCTATTATGACTTTATTGGCCTTCAAATTCAGTAAAATTTGAATAGAGTCCAGGAGTTACATAATAATAATATACGTTTTTTTTAAAATATATTTTATTGATTTTTTACAGATAGGAAGGGAGAGGGATAGAGAGTTAGAAACATCGATGAGAGAGAAACATCGATCAGCTGCCTCCTGCACGCCCCCCACTGGGGATGTGCCCGCAACCAAGGTACATGCCCTTGACCGGAATCGAACCCGGGACCCTTTAGTCCGCAGGCCGACTCTCTATCCACTGAGCCAAACCGGTTAGGGCTTTCTTTTTTTTAAATTTTGATGGTTGTATTGTGGTTATGTAGGAATAATGAGCTATTAGGTTGGTAATTTACTTTCAAATAATTCAAGAAGAAAAACTTCTTTATATTGTACTTGCAAATTTCCTGTTTGAAATTGTTTCAAAATAAAAATGTATACTATTTATGAAGAGGGATACTATGTATTTCCCTTGTATTTAATTTTTGATATAATCCAGAATACTTTGTAGATAATAGAAAATGTGGAGAAATGGCCATAAACTCACTGTCAGTTTCTGATGTGGATGTTCAAATATATTTAAGAAAAGATGGGCAAAACATATACACCAACTCCAACCAATCCAACCAGCCCCAACTAATTTTAACCAATTGCTGAGAAAATTAAGGAAGATTTAATAAATGATGAGAAACAGCACATTCATGGCCTGGAAGACTCAAAGTTGTTAATATTTCAATTATTTCCTAAACAGATCCACAGAATCAATGCAATATCAATTAAAATCTCGGCAGGAGTTTTTGCAGAAATTGCCAGGCTGGCTCTAAAATGTTTGTAGAATGCAAAGGACCTAGAGTAGCCAAACAATCTTGAAAAAGACAAAAATATGGAGGCCTCACACCACCTGATTCCAAGACTTGTTGTAAAGCTACAGGAATGAGGGGGGGAGGGGGATCTGTAGCAAATCTATCAGTGTCTCCCCATTTGTGCCCTCAGTAATACGGTATTTGTTCTTCTTTGATGTTAGGTCAACATCAGCACCCAGGAGCTTTGGGAGGAAATGCTCAGCTCCAAAGGACTAACTGGTAATTTAAGATAATTGTTGAGATCCATCCTTTTAAAAATGGCACATGACAGATTTACCAAGAAGAGAAAAGCTGCAATGATCACCATTTTCCTGTAACCTTGAGTTTCATGAATGAAGAACCAGGTGATTTCTTTGTACATATAGATCTGGCTTGAACATCTATCTGCTGGTGAGTTCTGTTCAGGAAATTCATCAGTACTATCCGGTAGCAGGCCTCCTGGTCAGGTGCAGGCAGAAGAGAGGTTCCCTCACACCCACCGCTGGCGCACAGCACAGACGGGGACCGAAGAAGACCACGGTATCCAAGTTTCCACCTGGGTCTCTATCAGAGTCACTTTCCGGGAGAACAGTGTTGACTTTCTAAAGTGAACAAAACTCTCCTTTACCCAAAGCAAGTCACTTGTAATTCATCAGGGGAAAAGGTCAAAGCTCTGTTTATTATCAAAGAAGCTAAGAATTGATTGTATGCTGACAGGTCACCTATAGTGGCTTCTTCCTTTTAGAATAGATGGTTTCAGTCTATTCAAATATTTATTGAGGGCCACTCTGGGCTAGGTCTGCACGTAGCCTGAAAATTCCTTACGGTAAAGGGATCGTGGTAAGTAAATGATTTCCCACCCTACACTACTTCATTGTGTTTAGAATTCAGGACAAAGAGTTGCTAAGAATGAGGGATAGCTGTGTTTCCATGCTCGCTCATACTCTGACGGGATAATAAATCCTGTAACCATTAATGTCCCTGCAAACGACATCCATCTGAGGGAGGTAGCATGTGCGGGTGTAAACTTTGCCTGACATGCTGGACGCTGGGGCTCAGTGAGCCTCCCTGCTTCTTTCTCGGTGCCGCCAGTTGTCGATGTCTATCAGGGCTGGTGTGGCCCCTGCAAGCCCGTGGTGAGCCTCTTCCAGAAGATGAGGATCGAGGTTGGCCTGGACCTTCTGCACTTTGCATTGGTAAGATCCTCAGCGGGACTGTCACTCAACATTGTAAGAAAAAGGCAACATTTCAACACAGGAACAGGAAGTGCGAGCTCCCTTTTCAGAGAATTGAAAAGGCATCCACTGTGGGTTTTTTTTTTTTAATATATTTTATTGATTTTTTTACAGAGAGGAAGGGAGAGGGATAGAGAGTTAGAAACATCGATGAGAGAAAAACATCGATCAGCTGCCTCCTGCACACTCCCCACTGGGGATGTGCCCGAAACCAAGGTACATGCCCTTAACCGGAATCGAACCTGGGACCTTTCAGTCCGCAGGCCAACGCTCTATCCACTGAGCCAAACCGGTTTTGGTCACTGTGGGTTTTTATTCGTCATGCTGCCCCACAGTTTCTCTGGGGATGAAATCCTCCCTCAGCCCCTCACTGACCGTCACTCTGGCTGCAGGGACAGAATGCCTGCCACTCCAACAGGTGTGCTCCCTCTTAGCTCACAGACACTGAGCTCTGGAGTTTCCCCTTCAGAGCTCAGGGTTTCAGGATCTCTATCCTCTGCTCCGCAAGGGGGACTCTGAGTAAACATTTACTGGATTAATGTATGGAAATGGGAATAAATTCCGGAGACGTGTGCAAGAGACACTCCGTGGTTTTCGGTTCAAAGACTGAACAGAATATGGGCTTCACGCTAATCTCGCACAAGTTTGGCTTCAG